GCAGGACTCCTTAATGACACATGCAAAGGACGACTCCTCGGATGGGAATGGCATTTCTGTAGCCGAACAAAGAGGTCCCCTTCTTGCCCTTCACCTGACAGAGATCATAAGCTTTGGAGGTGTTGTTTTGCAGATAGTGACGGATTGGTACCTGTCTCCTTTGGAGCCATAGGGATGTTTGGAAACAAGTGGAGGAGGTAGTTGCACAACATTTTGAATGTACTATTTGTTCACCTTGAAACGATTAATTTTAGATAATACTCGTCTCGATTTTTAAAAACGCTTTTTTTTTTTTTTTTTGGAGGTGTATGTTAGTGGTAAGAATGCCTGCCTAGCATATTCGAGGCCGTGGGATCCATTCCCAGCTCCAACATAAAGAAAGAGATAAAATACTGTCAAGTATTTTGAGGTACTTAAAGGGAAAACGCTGCTTTTCCAGAGTCCCTAGATCAGCTCTATGCATTCGGGTGATTGGCTGCCTGTTGCCTAGGGATGCTGCTCCAGCTGGAAGAACTGGGCCGTCCTTGAGTGATGCTCCCATCCCCCACCTGAGAAAGGAGAATATTCTGCTTTGTGCCCAGCTTGAGTTGCAAAGGGGCTAGAAAGGTAGCATTGAAGTCCTCTAAAGAGCCCCCTCTGCACACCCAGCTCAATCCTGGGATTCCAGTTATATACACTGGTGTAATTCTGGGAAGGACATTTTTTTGTTTCATCTAGCTGTCCGCTGATCCATCCAAACATTCATTCAGTCCCAGGGAACTTCCTGGGACACTTCTGTGGGCCTAACACAGTATTAAGATGGGAAGAACACTGTCCTCAAGCTTTAGGTGGGAAACTGAAAGGGAAGAGAAACCTAAGGGTTGGGCTGGGGGTGCAGGGGAAGCATGCCCAGGCAAGCCCATCTCGCCACAGCTAGGGCACTGGGGGGAGGGAGGGGTGGCTATGGTCTCTGATGGGTCATGATTCAGAAGCTAGCAGACAGAGGTGAAGAGGTCACCCCAGTTCCCAGAAACTCCCCATTCTAAATTCAAATGTTCTCTTAGGTAGTAATGGGTTCTGTCCCCTGTCATATCAAGTAGGTGTCCACTCCAGGCCTCTGTCAGGCCTCCTTGTAGAGGAGTCTGTTTATCTGCCCTCTCCTAGATCGAGTGAAAGACCCGCTCGGAATGCCCCTGAGCCCCCTGCCCCGAAGCTGCCGGGGCCTCCCAAGCCTTCACCCCGGCAGGGCTCGCGCCCCCGGCCCGCCCCGCCTGGCACCGCGCCTCGGGGCTGGGGCCAAGCAACGAGCACCAGATGGGCAGGCCCGAGAATGAGCACCAGGTAGGCTGGGGCCGAGCAACGAGCACCAGGTGGGCCGGCACGAGGGCGAGCCACGAATGGCTCTGTGTCTCATTTGAACCATCCAATGGAAATGATTCTGTATTTCGCCTCATTTGAAAGACTCTATGTTTCACCTCATTTGAATAACTCTGTACTTTGCCTCATTTGAATAACCCTGTATAGCGCCTCATATACATTGACCAATGGGAATAGCTCAGTATAATGCCTCATTAGAATTATCCAATAGAATCCCTGCTCCTAGCTTGCGCCTTTTTCCCTATATAAGGACCCCCTTTCCCTTGGCTCGGGGCGCTTAGCCACACAGAAGCTAAGTCGTCCCGGGTACCCGAGTCTCCAATAAAGCCTCTTGCTTTTGCATCCAAGTTCGTGGCATCGCTGATTCCTGGGTGCGGGTCTCCTTCTACGAAAGTACCTCTTCGGGGGGGGGGGTCTTTCATGAGAAACATCACCAGGGCTAGGTTCCTAGTCCTTTTTCATCACTTTGTAAAAAGTGAGACTTATGACTGGTATTATGGTTCAATGCAAGAGCACTTGCCCAATATGAGTCAAGCCTTGGGTTCAACCCTGGTGTAAAACAAAAAAACAAATGCTGAACAATGTCCCCCCCCCCAAAAAAAAAAACCAACAAGAATGAATTTCTTGGGGCTTTTGAGATGGCTAGGTGAGCAAAAATGCTTGCTGCCAAGCCATCGAACTGGGTCTCTGGAACACACAGTGTAGGAAGAAGAGAACTGATTCCCACAGGTTGTACTCTGACCTACACACACACACACACACACACACACACCCCAGTGAGTAAATACATGTAAAAAGACATGTACTTTTGGAAAAAAATTAAAATGTACTTTTATTATTTTAAAATACGTGTATAAATTATCAGATTTCCCTGGCTCTGGAGTTAAGGGTATTTGTGAACTACCTAACATGGGTGGTGCATGCATTTAACCCTAGCCCTGTGGAGGCAGAGGCAGGCCAGATCTCTGTGAGTTCAAGGCCAGTCTGGTCTATAGAGCTAGTTCCAGGACAGCCTGGGCTACACAAAGAAACCTGTCTCAAAAACAACAACAACAACAACAAAAACAAAAAAAAAACCAAGGTCTTAAATTCACTGTGTAGTCTAGTATGAACTTGAACTTCTGATCTTCCTGCTTCCACCTCTCACGTGTGCCACGAGTGATTTGTGGTATGGAACCCCGGGTTTCATGTGTGGTGGGCTGCCACTCTATACTGTCAACCAATATCCTAGCCCCTGGATAGAGTTCTTTTTGGGGGGGGAGGAAATAACAACAAAAAACCAACAGGGTTATCCAGTGCCTATGAACACAGCTCTTTCCCATTTGAGGGAAGCAGTTTTATTGAGGTTGGGGGGTGTGGTTTCTTTAGCGTGCTTGCCTAGTATACACAAAACACTGGGTTCAATCTGATCCCCAGTATAGCACAAACCAAGCTTCATGATGCACGACGGTAATCCCAGCACTTGGGGAAATTCAAGAGGTCATATCAAGTTCTAGACCAGCCTTGGATACATGAGACTCTGCTTCAAAATATAGAGACACCAAATTGAAAAAAAAAAAAATGCTTACATAGCCCAAGATGGTGTCTTTTGACTGAGTGGATGAATTCTAGGGTCAGGGATTCTTTTGTTTTTTAACATTCACTTCAAAGAAAAACTATTGGGGGGGCAATATGTCTTATTTTTCTGAAGTGCTTTTTTTTTTTTTTTCTATCAAAAAACGTAAAAGAAGAGAAGAGGGAGCAGAGGGGCAAGGGAGGTGGAGATGTGACCTAGTGGCAGAGCTGTGCCTAGCATGTCTGAAGCAAGTACTGGGTTCATCCCCAGTATGGAAAAAAATAGTTAAAAAAAAAAAAGCATTTATAGTCTATCTGCAATGGGCTCAGCCTAGGAGGAAGAATGAGGGCCCTGCTGGTCAATTGATTTATTTCTCCTTTCTCCCTGTTAGCGGGAAGGTTCACTCACACAGGCCCCGCAACGTGAAAGGCATTACAAGATGATGTCACCTTTTCTGCAGAAGCATTTCATCTCACCACCCCGTCCGATGTCTCCTAGCTAGTGGCAGATCTAAATGCCAGGAAGGAAAGATAGCGATTAGGCCTGGGAGCCCCGGAGGCAAACACAGTCCTTAATTCTGCAGCTGTTTTTAACTGTGTCTCCTAATGGGGGAGGGGGTGCTGTCCATAAATGTGTTCTAAGAAGGTGTTCTCCCACCTGTAAAATGATTTTGGTCCTTTTGCAGTTATAAGACCCGGCTGTTCTAAAAGTCAGGCTTTTAATTTTAATTTTTAAAATATCGGTGTTAGGATGAGCTAAGCTTCATATTTCATGCCTTTAATTCCAGGACTTGGGAGGCAAAGGCAGATGAATCTTTGTCAGTTCAAAGCTAACCTGGTCTACATAGTAAGTTCCAGGCCGATCAACCGATGAGACTGTCAAAAAAATAAAATTGGGGAGTGGGAGGTGGGGCTGGAAAGGACAGTGGCCTGACTTCCCTGGCCAGTGTCATGTGTCACATGCAAACCTGCCCTGTAGCAATTCGATACTTGCCTGCCTTTCTGATCTGGTTTGGTTCCTGCCCGCCGGGCCTGAGTGTCTGATGTAAGTTTGGTTTTTCTTCCATCAGGGTCCCGGTGTCCTACACTGATAAAGGAGGAAAGAAAAAAAAAAAAGTCTAGTCCCTCTGAATCTCCTCCCCACCCTATGCAATCATTAGCCCTCGAGCATCGCTGCCAGGCCAGATTTCCTCTTGCCTCGACTGAATGATGAAACCCTTGATGGCTATTGCACTCGGGCTTTTCCAAAGATCTCGGTCCTGGGTTCCATTGAACTGAGTCTTTTTTTAACACAAAGCGTAAGAGGGATTCTAGGACCCGGAGGACGCCAGGGGCTCTGCGGCAGCGGGCTGGAGAGGCACTGGCCCCGCAGTGTTCTGTCCCTAAGTCCTGCGGGTGGGTCATTGTGTCGGTTTGATGTGAGTCCTTGTTCCCCCTAGCCGAGGACCGGGCGCTGTGAATCCGAGTCCGTGAACTCTAAGCCCTACCCAAACCCCCTGCTTGGCTACAACCTCGCACTGTTGTCCTCATAAACCCATCCCCGGAGCTGTA